GAACGGAGTAGGCTTTGATGCTTCGTACATCTTGCTCAAGGAGTGGTGGGCCAAACGGAAGATGAGACCCTGGAGCTCAGGGTATACTTCCAGGAACCAGGCATGGCGTCCAAGGATAAATAATGCTTCCGGTAGTGCGCCAATACACAATAGACTTTTCAAAAGAGTATACTTCTGATCTGTTGGCTCGGGTAGGTCTTTCTTCTTTTCTGCAGATTCGTCGGGATTAACAGGTGTATTTCTTCCGGTGTCCGGTTTCGATTTGCTTTCGGTATCCCTTAGACGGGAAACGGCAGGTTGTCCAGGTGTATCGTCAGGTAATGCGCCAGCCATAGTCAACGCATTAGAAACTGCGCCGCGTTCCTTGTCCTCCTTTTCCTTCTTAGCCTTCAGAAGTTTCTCCTTGTGCGCAGCCATATCCTCTTCCAATGGGTATAGATGTGGGTATAGATCAAGAATGGAAATGAATCCAATCTTGATCAAGAGCGCGATTAGGTACATGAGGTTTTCGGGGAGGACATCTGAAGCATCACGGACGTCAGAAGCATAGAAACGAAGCTTGAAGCCGAGAAGTTGTGCTGCAATGTCGTTTCCAGACGGGGGAAGAGTCTTGGTTTGCGTCATCCATTCGTCTGCCCATTTTCGAGCTGCTTGCTGCTTGGAGAGTGGTGCACCTTCGGCGGGTAGAGTTTGGTCCGGCTGTCTGTTGTTCGAAATTACACGGCGTGCACCAAGCTCAAAGAATGCCTGAACGCCTGCCCGATCGCCCAGCTCACCTACACGTTGCCAGAACTTTCGGTCTCGGGATTCGCGTAGTCGCAGCTGCTCTTCCTTCTCTTCGTCTGAGTAATACCAGAGCTTGGAGCCTGGCTCAGCCCACCGCGGAAGCGTGGGAACTTCAGGTTCCTCCCATTCGATGTTATCGAAACCGCGCAGCTCGGGCCACCATGCGCTCGTCCGTAACAACTTGACGAAGAATCTACCGTGCTTGACTAGGAGATTGGCAAACACATCGAGTGTCACATCGAGAACTCGTCCAATATCCAAGTCGAAGGCGCCAATGAGTGCATTTACCCGTTGGTAGGTCTCGCTCACGACTTCCTGGTTTGGTGGTTCGCTGTTTACAGTGGTGAAGTATTCGGTCATTAGCTTCGAGTAGCCCTCAGTCTCTTCACGCAGAAGGTTGTAGTTGGATTGCCGGTACAGTGCGTGGGTGGCTTTGCGAACAGCCATCTTGCCAAAACTATCGCGAACCAGACCCAGCGACTTCAAGAGGTCGTTCTCGAGCTCGGAGCGCATGCGTGAAACGTCGATATTGGTGGCAACAAGCATCTGCCGTACAGATACCTGCTTGCTCTCATCGTTCGTGAGCGAACTCAAAGTATCGAGGAAAGTCGATGTTGAGTCAATGTCGTCGTCGGTCGGTACCGATACAATGTCCCGCACTACAGAGCCCAACTCGCCAGCATCCAGAACATGGTTTATGGACGCCTCGATGATTTCGTGGAATACGACCGATAGGGCGAGTACATTGCCCTCGCGCTGGGCAGACAAAGCAGCCTGCACCACAGCGTCGCGTGCCTCGCCATTCCAATGAGCGACCCGGTCTGGCGTTAGATACTCGTTGCTCTCAGGCACCTGGCGCGGCGTCGTGGGTCTCGAGGGCTGCGCAGGGGCGGCAGGGCGCACAGGAGTGGACGGTGTCGGCTGAGGCGGCCTGGTTGATGTGAAGGAAGTATTGCTGGTGGGCGACATGGCAGGCGGCGATGCATGAGAAACGTTAGGGCTCTGGGGAACGCTGGAGCCGCCGCGGCCATTGTTTCTGCTGGGCCGTCTACCCGCTCCGCCTCCGCCGCGTGGGCTGTTGGTTTGCTGCTGGTTATGCACGAGTCCCATGTTCTGCGGGCGATGCGGCGACGGGCGGCCGGTGCGATCGTCATCCTGTGAGTAAGTGCGGTCAGGTCGCTTTCGCTTTGGCGGAGGAGCCATGGTGGTACCCTCTCAGGATCGAGAGACCGGCGCGAACTGGGGGTTGATAAAATATGAGGCGAGCATGCGGTGGTTGCTCGTGAGAGTGTTAGCTCGGCAATGCGTAGTTGGCGTTTGCGCACGCGCGTGCCGTGCAGTCAATGATCAATACAGAGACTGTAGAAGAAGCGCGGGTCCAGGCTGGTGGGTAGGGCCAGAGCAGGAGGGCGAGAGTCGCGTTGCGGCGGGCGCGGGTTGATGATGAAAGCGTGTCTGGAACTTGCACAGGCTCAAGACATCGCGAGCTCCGCTAGCGTCCGACCGTGCATTCATTCACCTCGACTCTTTGTCTGCGCCGCTGCCTATTGTATCACCGCAACTCATCACCACCACTGCCACGCACACCGCCACATGCACACATGCACAGACAACAACACACACGCACATCATGGAACAATGTATAAGCAGACAATTAACAATTGTATTGCGCTGCGCTTTTAAGCCATCATCTTAGGCTATCCAGGTCTCAAACTATACAAAAGAGCGACCAGACCATCGTCACCATATACACCAGAACACCCGCGCATCTATGCTGCGGCTGCAACAGCCTGTGCCGTGGCCTTGCGCTCGTGCTCAAGCACGGCTTCGAGCACACCAGTCGCGCCCTGGCCGGCCTTCATTTCGCGGATGACATCAACAAGGCCAAGCTGCTCGTCTGTCCAGAGAGGGGTTTCCTCAGCCTTGCCAGCTTCGCCCACGCCAATGAAGCCGCCCTCGGCAGCCCACTCGCTGGTGCGCTTGATGCCAAGCTGTGTCCACACAGCGTCAACAGCCTCGACCAGGTGCTCACGGTACTCGCGGACATGGCCAGGCGTAGGCGTGATGCGAAGGCGCTCCTGGCCGACTGGAACGGTAGGGTAGTTGATCGCCTGCACGTAGATGCCCCAATCCTCGAGAAGCATATCCGATGCCTTTCTGGCAATTTCGGCGTTGCCAACAAGTATGGGCACAATGTGGCTAGGGTTCGGGATGACTGGAATGTCCTTCGCGCTCAATGCATCCTTGACTGCCCGAGTGTGCAGTTGCTGCAGGCGCCTGTCACCCTGGTAGTTTGCCTGGTACTCAATAGCAGTCTGAGCACCGGCCATAGTTGCGGGTGGCAGCGAGGTAGTGAAGATGAAGCCAGGAGCAAGCGACCTAATCGTGTCAACTAGCTTAGAGGAACCTGCAATATAGCCGCCAACAGTGCCATATGCCTTTCCGAGCGTGCCAGTGATAATATCCACACGATCCTGAATCGTGCCCTGGGGTCGGCCTGCCTTGTGCGCCTCGTAATCCAGATGCTCCGCAACGCCAGCACCGTGTGGTCCGTACATGCCTACAGCATGGACTTCATCCAAAAAGGTGATCGCGCCGTACTTTTCAGCAAGATCGCAGATTTCCTCAATAGGACCAACAGATCCGCACATGCTGTACACACTCTCAAATGCAATGATCTTGGGATACTCTGCAGGAATCGACTGCAGCTTTGCTTCAAGATCTGCGACATCGTTGTGCTTAAACACCATCTTCTTTGCGCCAGAGTGGCGAATACCTTGGATCATGGAAGCGTGGTTCAGGCTGTCCGAGAGAATGACGCAATTGGGCAATTTACTGCCCAAAGTTGCCAGCGTCGCATCGTTGGCTACATAGCACGAAGAAAAGACAAGCGCGGCCTCCTTGGAGTGCAGCTTTGCGATTGTGTTCTCCAGTGCCACGGCGTGCTTGTTGTGGCCCGAGATGTTCCTAGTGCCTCCGGCACCTGCTCCATACGTGTCCAGCGTTTCATGCATGGTCTTGAGAACATGTGGGTTACGGCCCATACCCAGGTAGTCGTTGGAGCACCATACCGTCACCTTGTCCTCAGTCGATTCCTTGTGCGCACGAGGAAACTCCTTGGCTAAACGGTTGATATTGTTGAAGTATCGGTACGACTTGTCCTTGTGCTTTTTCTCCAGCTCGTTTTGGTAGAAGCCTTCATAGTCGAAATTGGAGCCCTTGGAAGTAACAGGGGCGGCAAAGTTGGAAGGCTTGCTAACAACGGATTTGAGGGGTGCGTGGGGAAACGGAGCCAGGCCTGTGCTGCGTTAGCTTGTCGATGTCATGTATTCACTCTTTTTGCAAGCATTCATACCCTTCTGGCCTCTCAGATTCTCAATGTCGATAGCCTGAGCCTCCTTGGACGCCGTCGTATGGAGTCTTGCCCGGTTCACGCGCGAGTGGTAAGCACGCACACCACCGAAAGCGCCGGCTAGTGCATTGTTGCCATTGCGGGCAGTCTGCACAGCAAGTGCCTTGCCCATGATGGGGCAGCGGCGAGCGAGCACCTGGAGATTCGACATGCTGCCAGCGCTAGGCGACACTTCATGGCGAGGAGCGGCGGCCGTGGTGGTGGAGAGGGAGCGCAGCGTGGCGGGTGACGTCTTGTGAAGGAACGGACACATGGACTTTGACTGGCGCAAAAGAGCCTCCATGGTGGTTGATTGCGCCGGGGCGTGAAACTGCGTGAGAATGCGATGGGGGTTTGTGTATGTGTATTTTTGTGCTGAAGTCAGGGTTGGAAAGAAGAGTGGGAAAGAGCGGGAGGACTTGTTCTGAAAATGTGTCAATCCCGAAAGTTGAGTTACATGCGGTAATAGCGCGGAGCCAGGGAATGCCGGTCATGCACATCAATTAAACCAACCATGATTGGCCCGTCGTGTTAGCATTCCGCGCCCGGGGTTAATAAGCGTCACTATGAGGATGCCGTTTATATTACCGGCCTTGTTATTCTGTGAGAACGTACGCATGAGGGGTCCCGGGCCCGGCTCATGGCTTCCGTTGCCGGAGCCCTCCGCTCGTATCTTGTCAGATCCTTTCGCCAGCGGCTCCACGTAGAAGTTCCAGACAAGCTCATCTGAGTAAACGTGGGACTCTGTACCTCGGTGAACATGTATGTGGTACAGAGCACGTGACTGGCATCCCCACGTCTCGGACCCCGATGGTATTTCAAGTCTGCGGAAATATGGATCCCATTCTTACGTGAGCAGCAAACTTTGGTCACACTCTACATACATACTATGTAAGTACTACCTATCAGCTTGCAGATGCCCATTGACCCTGCTGGATTAAGCGTGTGGGAAGCGCGAGTCGGCTAGGAGCTAGTAACACTGCCGAGATGCGCCGCCTGTAGTGTAGTGCGATATTCACCGCATCGGCATCTTATATGCCTGCCGAGGCCTAGATGCCCTCTGATGACATACCACACCGGGCATGAAAAGACACTAGACAGCATGCTAGGCGGTCAACTGCATGTCCTCAGTCGTCGTCTGATATCTCAATGATCTCTGCCTGTGACGGTTGGTCAGGGTGCTGCAGAGCTTGTTCGCTAAAGGTTGTTTCCATAATTTTACAAAGGTAATCGTAGAAGGTAGAGGCTCCAGCAGATCCGTCCGCTAAACAAGACTTGAGCTCTTCTAGTTCTTCCGGAGATGCGTTTGGTGCATCAAAATAATTCCTGCAGAACCACCACGACAGAAACAGATTGGTAAAGCTGGTAATCTTGGCCAGATCTCGAAGGAGTACGCCCTGCAGTTTCGATTCTCCTCTCCATAGCATGTCGATGAACGCTGCGATTTCCCTTAATAGATCTGTCTTGCCAATGAGCTGGACACGGATTCGAACCGACTCGCGATCGCTAACATCCATTTCAAAAATAGTTTTGGAAACGATACGCTTGCGGTCAAAATTCTCGGTTAAGTCCTGCCATCTCCAGCGGCGTACCGAACTGATCGAAGCGTTTTCAGGGTCTTCTCCATATCTTCGGAGAATAGGCGTGTGTCGAGGACCATTGGGGTAGAGAGAGCCATTGGGGTAGAGAGAGCCATTGGGATAAAGAGGGTCCCGGTGCTTGTTGACTACAGGCTCTATGCTGTGCGTAATGGCGATCTCAGGTGAGAGCGACTGTCTTTGGCGGCTCGAGGAATTCCTAGCAATGTCACGAAGGATGAAGTTCGGTGTTGATGCCCGCCTCTGGTAGCTCAATAAATCCCCGGCGCCGCCAACCACATCTTGATCAGGCTTTTGCACAGTTGATACCGCCCTTCCCGAAGGTTCGGGCGAAGTATCCAGATTGATGACCTCAGTAGTTGCAACAGCCTGGGGTCTTGGTAATGATGCCATGCTGGCATCGTCGGGTGAACTTGCAAGCTCGTCATCGCTACCGACAGGCTCCAGTTGGTATATATCCCTTAGCCAACCGGCCAGTTCTATTGCCTGGATAGTAGTCTCAAGATTGCGACATTGCGTGCGTACGTCATTCTAGATGGTAACTTGATGTTAGTCTTCCTTCAATAGAATTACAAGAACATTCACTTACGGGGTTGCTTCCAGCAGCCTTGACAATCTCATCACACAGCTTGTCGAGTCTGTGGCTGAAATATGCATAATCTTCATCGTACTTTTGTACAAGATTTTTTCTCTGTCCAGAGGCTTCGGCCTCGTCCCACATGGCATCGACATTGTAGACGACTTCCTCGCCGCGGGGGACGCCTGCATTTGGTTCCCAGGATTTGCTGTAGGCCTCGATGCACTCGTTAATAATATTGACAATTTCCTCAGAAGGGAGCTTGGTTTGACTTGTTGGTATCTCTACCTCGTCGAGTTCGTGCGGCTCGTCTATGTCTTCATCTTCTCCATCTGCACCGATAGAATCATCGTCCTCTTCACTGTCTTCAGCAGCAAAGTCGATCACCTTGTCTTCTTCACCTGTATCTTGCCATCGCAGAAGATGGTCAAATTCATTTGATGTGTGATGCGTCTGTGTCTGCGTTTGCGGTGTTGGGCGCACTGGCCCGACTGCGAGGATCTCAACTCTGCTTCGTTTTGGTTCAGTCCCTCGTTGATTGGACGCTATATGTGGGCTTCGAGTGATTGGTGCAATTGGCGAAGTATTTGGGGCGTTATCATTGAGCGGTGTTACACCTGCATTGGCCGCGTGCTGAATATGGTAGCCACGTGAATCTCGTCGAAGCAGTTCTATCACTGAGTACAGAGCAAACCGCTGGCTTATAGGGGATATGTTCAGTTTGTTTGTTATTACTACTTGGTGCATTCCAAATGAAGTAAGTAGCGTGTTTCCTGTCATGTTCTGCGCTCGCAGCTCTGTCTCAAGAGCTGAGCTATCCGGAATGTTATCGAGAGAATGCCCTGCACGGATGAATAGGGTGGGTGAGTGACATAGGTTGGCGACTAGCTCGTCTACACTCCATAGCCAGGGATCATTGGTGGACATGCTGATTGATTGAGAGCCTGTATGGGCATCAAGGAGTTGTCGGGACTAATAAGGTAAAAGACGTAAGGGTAGGTATTCAGTGTGGCGTGTGCCCAATGCTCTGTATCGCGCCGTTTGCTCGCCACGTACCTGAGCACACGCGGTCATGTGACAGCGCGAGGAGGGGTAAAGTGCATGCGTTACAAGCGGCGCAGTGAGAACGGAGGAGGGGCACTCAAGGGCAAGAGCATTGGACGCCCAGTATCACACATGAATATTGCTAGACAAGGCGTCGTTCGCCGACCGAGTGATGTAAGCAAGTGAGTCGGTTCGCGACCGTAGTAGCGGGGCAGATGAGACCATCGCTTTAGCGCCGACTGCATTTGTAAGTTTCTCAAGAGGTACTTTCTCCAGCAATCCATCCAACCTCTCTCCACAACATTCTCATCGTACCAGCAGTCATGGCCTCTATAGCGAATGCAGAGTATCCGCCAAAGCTATCTCAGGAGGAGGAGCAGTACCTGCTGGAGAATCTCAAGGACTGGTCCATAGCGCATGGCCTAGCGGTGCGTCCCGCGCCCTCGTTCGTCAATCCCTCGCAGGACCCGTCAGGTGTATTGGCAAGCACAGCTCCGGTCACCTTGTTTCCCAGTCTTTTCCCACGCTCTTGTTTCGAGCAGGGACTCGCCATACAAAAGGCTTACAACGAGTTATACTCGGCAATCGCGAGGGACGAATCATGGCTGAAGAGCATTGTGGAGCAGCTGTTGGATGTAGACGACTTTGTTGCAAAGCTATGGCATACCCATCTCGAGGTCAAAAAGGAAGGCTACGTCCAAGACCTCTCATTGGGGCTTTTCCGCTCAGATTACATGGTGCATCAAGATTTGTCACAATCCAAGTCTCCACCCGGATTGAAGCAGGTAGAGTTCAACACTATTGCGTCGTCATTTGGTGGTCTCTCCAGCCAGGTGTCGGCGTTGCACAAGTATCTACTCACTATTGATGCTTACCCGAAATCGACACGCTTAACCATCAAAGAGGAGGCTCTACAATTGAGCAAATCTGCCTCTTCCCTAGCAAAAGGTCTCGCTGCAGCGCACAAGGCATATGGAGCATCGCGCACTGGCCGACCTCTCTGCGTTTTGTTCGTTGTACAGGACCCTGAGAGGAACGTCTTTGACCAAAGGCATCTCGAATATGCTTTGCTAGAAGAAAACGGCGTCCGCTCGTTTCGCTTGCCGTTTGGCCAAACCTTGACTCATACGAAGCTTGACTCGGATCGCACGTTAGTCTATACGCCACCAAATTCGCCAGCGACATCGTACGAAGTGACGACTGTCTACTTCCGAGCAGGGTACTCGCCAGACGATTACCCAAAAGACGAGGACTGGGTAGCGCGCCTCCACCTTGAGAAGAGCCGTGCAATCAAATGTCCCAGCATCTTGACGCACCTTGCTGGATGCAAAAAAGTACAGCAGGTGCTCGCAACACCCCACTCGCAACATCTCAAGCGCTTCCTTCCTAATGACCAGGTTGCTGCGCGCGTGCTAGAGACATTTGCGCCCATCTACCCGCTAGACGACAGCGAAGCTGGCCAGGAAGCACGGAAACTTGCTACGGACGCTTCGACGGCCGTCAAGTATGTGTTGAAGCCCCAACGGGAGGGAGGCGGGAACAACGTTTACCGGAAAGCCATCCCGCCGTTCTTGGCAAAGCTCCCCGAGAGCCATTGGCCAGCGTACATTTTGATGGAAATGATTGAGCCGCCTCCGCTGGAAAATGCCATTCTGCGCAACGGAGAGCTACAGAGGGGCGGTGTGATTTGCGAGCTGGGCGTTTACGGCGCGTGTCTTTGGAGAGATGGCAATGGAGCCGACAACAAGGGCGAGATACTAGAGAACTGGGAAGCCGGTTATCTTCTCCGCACAAAAGGCGACCAGAGCGAGGAGGGCGGGGTGGCTGCAGGTTTCGGAGCAGTAGATAGCTGCTGCTTAGTGGACGAGTGATGGACAGTATACTGGTACCGAAGACGCAGACGTATTGGAGCATGCAGGGAAACGGTAGCGGAATAGCGTGAACCACGAATCGATATGGAAAATGACCAACAGAAAAAAAATGTATTGAGAAGATGGCGCAGAGGCTATCTCAAGGTCACTGGTGTGATCCAGCAAAAAAAAAACAGCTTTCGCATCTCCTCATGGCAATGTATGATTGAAGGTGGTGAATGTGGTGCCATCATGTAACGTCATGTCGTGAGTTGCGCGCCTCAGGCCTGCAAGGCTTTTTGCCTGGTATTGGCAATCTTAAAAAGGCCCACCCGGGTTTCGGGGTGAGGGCACCTGCGCCGGGTGGTGACATGTCTACACAGTCAGATCAAAGATCAAGATTTGCGATCAACGTCGTACTCGGGAGCGATGTTGACAGCGTGACGATCGACAAGAATGAGGGGTGGACGGGATCGGCCATGGGGTAAGTAAGCAAAGGACGCTGGGTTGCTGGGTGAGCTGAGCATATCGGGATGGCGGAGGTTAGAATTGTCAAAAAAAAGAGGCTGTCAGTGCCAGTTTGGCGAAACGCGTGACAAGCAGGCTGACAGGCGACAGCTGGATTTCGCTACGTCAAACAGGCGCGCACGGCCATGTTGTGGTATGCCAAAGGCAGAACTGGATCTTCGGCGGCTCGCACGGCTCATGGTCGATCCAAGTATTGGCGTCTTTCGCTTGTGGGATTGGCCCGGCCCGACGTCCTGGTCACATTATCTGCTTTCGGATGACGCGAGCAATTTGGCGGCGCGGCGAAGAAAGATGCCTCATACATAGTTATAGGCTAACTGTATGCTGAGGCTGTGAAGCTTTTGCGGTGGGACTACGGAGGTTACACGTCGACGTTTTATGTGAGAAGGGGACCCCCTCCCCCCCCCGCTTCCCTCCTTCAGTGGATGTGCTTCATGCAACGAGCCGTAGGCTTATGCAGGCCGCGTATCGCAACCCTAGCACTCCACTATGGTGGAAGAGCAAGCCCTAGGAATAAGCACTCCCTCGTCGCCTCGCGAAGCACTCCTCTTGGTCAGCTTCTGAGGCATCAGAAGACATCCTAGTCTCGATGCCCTTGTCAAAAAAACAAGTCCGACATGGCATGCTCTGTTTGCATCTCGACAGAAGGTAATGAGCCGACTGTCTGGGACTAACCAGTGCCGCATCAGGAAAACCGGATGAAACGCTATTTACTTTTTCTGCGCCTAGCAGAGGCGTGGCTGGATTCTTGAGCCCGTTAGAACGACTGGTGGCTGGCGTACCAATAATAAAATGAAGAATTTCGAGGACCAAACCACTCCACTTGCAGTATGGGTCGTTGAGACGACCCACGCCATCCCGACGCCGCCAGCCAGGTAGCTCAGCATCATCCATATTGCATTCATGCGGCCGCGCCAGCTAAGCCCCTCGCTTCCTGGAACTTATGGAGGGAGCGTCGATCCCGTCAGAGGATCTCATTCCGAGCCATAGCTTTTATCGCCCGGTATGCACTGTGCAGCACCGATTGCCAGTTTACTGCACTTCCTTCTGCAGGTCTTGCGCACCCCTCTTTCATAGGCTTGTATGCCAACCACACTCTTTTTTCTCAGCCACTCACTTGCACTACTATAGTAATTAGTGTCCGCTCTTTGAAACACTTTATACCGACCATAGCATTCATTCCTTGCCCATCAGTGCGCGCGTCGCCATTGTCGACAGACATATCCAAGGCCGCGCCTTTGCCCGTTTGAGTATTCTCGCGGAAGTCATTTGTTGCCTTCTTCAGGCAAGGTAATTGTAATCCTTCTATGGCAGTTGTCCGCGACTGCTAGGGCACGTCATCTCTGTGTACCGCCACCATGCGCTTTTCTTACCGCTTTCTTTTAATATGTCTTGCGCTGCTGGTCTGTCTTCAATCGACAGCTGCAGCTCCTCATGCTGCCGTGCGCCGGCAAGATGACAATTCTTCAGAAGACTCGACCCCTTCTACAACACGAGACAGCGCCTCTCGGCAAGCCTCAATCACATCGACGCCTGAGCCCACGCCTTCTGCAAGACAATCTTCACGGATCGAGTCCAATGGCGCGTCGTCCGCCGTACCTTCTTCTGCGAAGCCTTCGGCTTCAGCAACCACCCAAACCGAGGTTCCCTCGACGGCTTCTTCTGACGAGCCTGTACCTTCTAGTCCTGCCAGTGAGTCTATTTGTTGTACAAGCTAATGTATCGAAACTGATAACCGGTTGTAGTTAACAAGGAGAGTCCACTGCCCATTTACCCCAAGCTCACCCCAGCAATGGGAATCACTGGTGTGATTTTACTAGTATCTGGTTTAGTATATGGTATCATAGGCATCAAGAAGAAAATGTAAGTTCGAGGCAGTGCCCAACAGAGTCCAACTAATAGATTTCAGGGTGTATGTCTTCGGATCTGCAGCTTATCTCTCTGCGCTCGCTGTCACGGTTCTTATAATCTACTTCATGAATCCACCTGTCTCGGATGCCATCCAGGGCGCCTTCTTTGTGGCAGCCTTCTTCACAGGCATCATCTTCGGCGTACTCTCACTGGTCTTTGTGGACATGACTGAGGGCTTTGGCTGCCTGCTCGGCGGTTTCTGCCTTAGTATGTGGTTACTCAGTCTCAAGGATGGTGGCTTGATCAGCTCGAGCACAGGTCGGGCAATTTTCATCGGCTGTATGGCTGCTGCTGGCTGGTCACTATCCTTTAGCCGCTACACTCGCAATTACGGCCTCATTGCATCAATCGCATTCTCAGGCGCCACCGCGTCGGTTCTTGGAATCGACTGTTTAGCAGGCGCTGGGTGGAAAGAGTTTTGGCTCTATCTCTGGGGTATGTGTAAACCCCATGCCTTGTGAGCGTTGCTAACATGTGCAGCTCTCAATGACTCCACATTCCCTCTGGATACCAACACGTATCCCGTGACTAAGAACATGAAGGCTGAACTAGCCGGTGTCATCATCATAGCAGTCGCTGGAATCATTTCTCAATTGCGGGTCTGGAAAATGATTCAAGAGCATCGTGCAAAGGACGCTGCGCAGCAACTCGAGAGGCAGCAGGACCTGGCTCGTGAAGAAGAAGAACGAGGCCGCAAGATTGAGGATGAATTCCAGAAAGAACGCGCTCAATGGGAAGCGGCTTACGGCGAAAAGAATTTGCCTGATGGCAGCCCTCGATCATCCGTCACAAGTCCCAAAAAGTCCACCAGCTTAGATGCAAAGGAAGTCGACAGCAGCGAAAATCTTCTTCCAGCCGCTAGGATGAACAAAGCGTCAGGAGGCACAGTCACTGTCGGCGTTCTCAACGATGATGAAATCCAACCAATTGACGCGGAAGGTTGCCCGGTAGTCGAGAGCCGCGAAGTTGCGACTCGTGGAGTTGATGGCGAGAAGACATTGCCAGGTACTCCAGAGGAAACACCACAACTGCAAATGGTCGAAAACGAAGGCCGGACTTCGTTAACAGTATCCCCACCGCCTGCTGTCGTACCGCTCCCGTTCAAGGTGCCCACAGAAGAAGATGCGCACAGCAACGATGACAACTCGTCTGTCTCTGCTATGCCTGAAACTGAAGCCGACATGACGGAGCGCCCAGCTGTGAGCAAACGCGTGTCTGACGTCTCGGCAATGAGGCAACGCATCTCTCGCGACCTGGCAGCTTCTCAAGAGGCAGTGTTTGTAACTCAAGATGTGAACGACGACCGTGCTTCGTCTGTTGCTGCAACTTTGGACGACGACAACGACCAGCTATCCATACGCGAACTTTCTCCTGTACAATCACCCATTGGAACAGAACACAACCCCTTTGTCGACGCTGGCCATGCAACAAAAGCCAGTGGTGACATGCCTGCTTCCGAAGAGTCAACTACCAGGAACGAAACGACAAAGACGGACATTACAAAGGAGCATGACAATCAGACGTTGGCTGGTGCACGGCAATCTCTCACTCCTAGCACCGACTCGAAGCAGTCAGGTGCGGCAAACGCTGGAGCGAGGAGAGATACAGCCGTGTTTAGTTCCAAGACCAGTAGCGCGGACCAGCAGTCCAAGGGTACACAGTCGGACGCTCCTTCTCTCAGCTCGCATACCGAGCCAGAGACGCGACGTGTCAGTGTGCTGCGGGAAGGTGCGTTGCCGGAGACCATGTCAAAAGTAGCTCTATCGTATCGGACCAACGAATGGGCCAAGCACCTTGAAGGAGCGGAGAAGCCGGATTATGAGGACATTTTCAGGCCTTCGTCGCCAGGAATGATGCTGCCAAATGGAATTGAGGAGAAGCCAGCGCCCATCAGCGAGGAGCTGGCGGCGCCGCTCAAGGGAAACCAGCGCAACTCGAGGCGAGTGTCGAATGGCAGCCGGATGCAACGCAACAGCAGCAGTGGATTCGAGCGAAACAGTTTGGCTTTGTCGCAGGAATCGCTTGTGGATCCACGGATCTACACGCGGTCTCCACCTGCAGCAGTTCTTTCGCGGGCCAGCTCCAAATCTAGGCCCAATGTTCTTGCCCCACTGCCGACCAATACGTTGATGAGCAAAAGAGAAACACTGCTCAAGAACCGAGCGTCTGCTCTGGTGAAGCGACATTCTTCGGGCGGGCACCTGCTCTTGGGCCGTGGCGAGGACCAAGTTGATGGGCAGGGTGAGGAAGTAGAGGGAGGAGAAGAAATGACGTTGGCACAGCGTCGCCAAATGCTGCAGCGCCAGTCATCAACACCCCAGCTCCCCTTTGAGGCACCCCTGACATCGCCTCGGCGGGCACCACCGTCGGCGTCGCAAAAGTGGCAGAACAAAGATTGGGCGGGTAAAGGGGCGCCCCCAGGCTTTGACTCGCACCAGCCACAGCGGACAAACAGCGCTCAGTCGAATTCTAGGCGTGAGCAACTGTATGCTGGATGGCGGGATTCGATACGCGATGCAGGGCCAGCACAAACGTCGACAACGTACATTATCGAGCAGCAGCGTGCGGCGTTGCTGTTTGAGCGGCGGCAAAAGGAGCTGGAGAAGCAGCAACGCGAGATGGTGCAGCAGCAGCGAGCAAGCCAGATGGACAGCATGATGCGCAGTGGGCACATGCTGGATGCACACCGCGAGGCGATGAGGAAGATGCAGGCGAGTGCCAACCGCCATGCGTAGGTGTTGAGGTGGATGACGCCGCCATGTTTTTTACCTGTATTTATGTTGTATTTACTAGATTTACGTGAGCCGCTGGGCATGTGGTGGGAAAGTATGCATGAACATGGACGAATGGCGAAGGAGCGATGGGTGCAGAAGTCTGTCTGGATAGCGGCTGCCATGTTAAGTAGTCGAAGCAGTAGCAGTAGCAGTAGCAGCAGCAGCAGTAGTAGTTGATGGTAATAGTACTAGAACTCTACAACACAAGCCAAGGCCAAGACGTACCGACGAATGGACGGATAGTGCATTAGTGAAGGAGAGTCAGCGGATGCAGGCGCGATCATGACTCTGCTGCGCGTGTAGCGTGCACGCGTGAGGCAGTACGTACGTAAACATACTGCAAAGGCAGACGGCAGGTCACGACAGTAAGCAGTGGCGGCGGCCAAGCACAGCGGAAGAGTATATCTCGGCGTACTGCGACGATGGCTGCATAGAATAAAGTGAGGCTTAGACGGAGTGTGGACGGCGCTATGCCGCAGCCACGTGTGCCGCGAGTCGAGTGCGGATGCGGATGGCTAGGCACACGTCCCGGTGACGGTGGTGCGAAAAAAGCCTGTCAAATCCTTCTTCCCCTTGACACGCACATGCACACACATTACACATGGGCACACGCAGCTACGCCGCCCGACGCCGTTGACGTGTGGTGCAGGCGTGTGAAGACGGGGCTTTTTTTGGTGCGTGGTGGTGGAGTGAGTGGTAGGGAGACAAAGCATGTGTAGGGAGATGCAATGGTGAAAAAAGGGGTGGGGGCACCGATGATTTACCCGTGAACAAGGCGGATCGGCGAGGCGAGGGCGGAGAAGCCTTGTGTGTGTGATGGCGAAGAGGATGCTGATGCTGATGATGAAAGTGATAAATGCGCATTGTGGGGCCGGGGTTAGGCATTGATGCGTCGGGAGGAGGGTGAGTAATGTGCACAGAGAGAGAGAGAGAGAGAGAGAGAGAGAGAGAGTGTGTGTGTGTGTGTGTGTGTGTGTGTGTGTGTGTGCGTAGTACATGTAAGTAGGTACGTACGTAGACATGTATCAGAGGTGTGATGTGACCGACTGAGCATGGGGCTGGGCACACACACACACACACACACACACACACATGTGTACTACTTAGCCAAGCAAGTCCACACCCACACGGCCGCCAGGCCAGGGCAGGCCAATAGTGTTTGTGCTAGCAAGGGACCGAAGGGGCCGAGCAAGCAGTGAGCGAGTGGGCGGCTGTTTGCAGGCAGGCGTGCGGAGGCTGGCAGATGTGTATGCTTATGTGGAGGCAGCAAGTATATGTGCGCGTCTAAGCATGTCGGCTTGCACAGGCAGCATGGCCATGGGCATGCATCGAGCCGCGTGGGCGCACGAGTGAATGACGGGCGTAATGCAGGCACAGTCGTCGATGCTGCAGGGGTTGGCCGTCCATGCCCGTCCACGGCCAGGGCTGGCGGCTGTGCGCACACAGACAGGCTCAGGCTCGCTCTGCTGTGCTCTGCGTGAAGCCCTCTGCCCTCCAGCAGCATGGACACGAGCCACATGCAATCCAGTCTTGCGCCGGGGAACATGGCCACGCCGACGGGGGGGGGTGCCCAAGAGTCGCCGGGAGGAGCGGGCGCGGTGGTTAGGGAATCCGCAGGCCTGACGTTGGTGTCGTATTTCGTCTACTTACAAGACAAGGCGGCGCCCCCGAGCTGCACACGCTACACGCTGCTCTCCCCTCCTCTTATTGCCGTGACCGAGGCCTGGTGTGGATGCAGGGCCAAAGTTTATACCGTCGGGTTTTGTGAGACGTCCTGCTGGCTCCAAACAGCTGCATACATACACACTACCACGCCCTCCCACACGCCCTTTTCTCCCCAGACCTCCCTCGCTTGCCATCTGCTCGTCTTCTCCATCCCTCCATCCACCCATCCGCTGCCACTGCCGCCGTCGCCGTCGGTCCCGTGACCTTCCCTCGACCCGCACCTTGCTGGCACATCTCCACCGCCCTCCGGCCTTTCCACTCGTCCCATTCGCCCGGCCTTGCTCTTGGTCGCGTCTGCGACAGTCGCCCACCCCTCCTTGTTCTCCCTCTCATTCGCTGCTGGTCGCTGGTGTCCGTCACGCTGCAGCCCGCATGTAGGCGAGAGCATGGACCACAGTCACTTGGGGCCCCTAAGGAACCACTACTCATCACCGCCATCACCACTCCATCCACAGTCACGACGACGACTCCACGCTCGCCCCCCGCTGCTTACCCGCCGCCTCCTGCGTCGCCAGTGCCTGCCCGCTGGTCGCTAACAAATCGCATCTTCAACATCAACCTGCGCTCTTTGTACCAGGGTCCCCCGCGCCTGCCGGCTGCCCGTCTCTGGAACCCAGTCAATTCTTCTCCGCGCCTCCTCCAAATACACAACCCGCCCCCAGCCCCAATACCCCCGCCCGACGACTATTACCCGAATCTACCTATCCAAACAGAAGCCCCTGCTGCCACAGACGACGTCCGCGACGAGTATCCGCTTCTGACCCTCCCCGAGCAGCGTCTTAGCCGTCAGAGTCCCGTGCCAAGCTCCCTCGCCGTCGAACGCTCCACAGCCGACAACAGCATCTCTGCTAGCGCTCGCACCAGCATCGGCCTGCCTCGCCCTCCACCTCGAAGCCTGCAGTCGCCCAGCTCTGCAATGCCGCCAGAGCCTGTCGCCGCCCAGCATCCCGACAAGGACGTAGAGGCTGGACGTTCTCATCAACCCGGTCTGTCGCGCGCCTCACTGCCCGGCTCCCGACGCTCCTCAATTGGCTCTGGGCCATCAGCTTCTGCAGCCGACGAAGACGAAGACGGCGATGCAGTCTCCGAGTTGCCCTGGGGACCTTCGCACCCCTGCTTCCCGCATCCCAACCCCCATGTCCCACTCGATTCGGAGCTGTACAACACGACGCGCATCATCCGCATCAAGCGTGATTGGATGGTTAAAGGCGACCTTGCCCCAACCTTTGCCAACTTGTATCCCGAGATTCTGGATCCCCTCGTCACCGAGGACGATTTTCGCATACTGATCAAGAAGATCAACGATGATCTCATCGAGGCCTTTGACCCATTTACCCTCCGCGCTTGTCTCGATACTGTCATGGGTGTTGCTACCCTGTGGCTATGGGAGGATGCTGGCTTCACAGGTGTTAAGAAAAAGCTGGCTCAACTCGAGAGGTGGATAGAAGACTGGAATCATAACGTTGGTGCAAAAGAAGCCGTCAAAATTATCCCACTAAGGCGGACCGGCTACCTCACAGTATGCATGCCCCTCACTCCCCCCCCCCCCCCAAAAAAAAGCAAAAAAACTTTTTGAACAATGTTAATCGTAACTAACTCTCTGCTCGCAGCTTGACATACAGATCCCAGATCCTCACCTTGGCCCTGATACTGGCTCACGGCCCCAGACTCAAGAAGACGGCCACCACATCGACTCACCACAACAAACCGACCCATATCCACCATATCCCATCACACCTACATTGCAGGTGAACTCACAACCAGCAACGATTGGAGCCAACACTTAAGCCTCCAATTGCACGCAGCTATGAAACAAGGTGAAGCACAAATCAAAAAGGCAACAACGACTTGGAATTTTAGCGGCATGTGAACTGGAGTTTACAGGGTCTGGACTGCGGGCTTCTTTTGTTTTTATCCTTTTTTTCGTCTTGCAAAACTGAGCGAGCGCATCATGACATACGCCTGTTGCTTTTTTTTTTCTCCATCTCATCCCACTAGACCATTCGGCGGCGACGCAAAAAGACTTTAATGTTTGTTTATTTCAGCCTCGCTTATCGGTTCCTGTATCTTTTTTCTTCTTCCCTTTTTCCTATTCTTAGATCTTGCGTTCGTGCCGTAAGTATTTATTATTGTTTTTTTTCTTTGTGGTTGTACCTTCGATACCCAAACTTGCATAGCTGCCGCTAGTGCTGGTGCTGCTACTGCTAATTGTCACTTTTGTAGATCTGTGCATGTTTCTTTTTTCTCTACCCCCTTTTTCATCTCTTTACTCTGTGTGGTAAACATGGCTTCATGTAATAGACTGTATGGTATACGTCTTCTCCTCATTGGCATTCATTCCAAGTCATGTATCCGGGACAGAATTCATACTACATGCCCTTTTAATTAAGGAGACATAGCTTGCATGTATACAATGCGCCGCATGACTGTATTGTTAGTCTTGTTTGCTTTGTCAGCTACATACCCTCATGCCTTCCTGCCTACATCCCACTAATTCCGATGATCATTTCTCCATTTCAAACATCTTCACGTGTAAAACTTGGTTTTTCTCGGTGTAACATGTCGCTCACTACTCACCAAGCTAAACGTAACTCACTATCCACATTCGTCACTTTCTTTTTCCTTCCTTCTTTTTTTACAATTCGAAACAGAATGACTCGATGGTGAGGGGGAAGCGCCGAATTCTTCGCCTCAGGCTTGCGTCTGAGGCTAGTGCTTCAGACTAGTGGCATTACCGTTGTCCGTCTTGGTACACATACTTTAGCCTTATCAGCTTTTTACGCTTACCGCCCCTTTTTTTGAACCCTTTTCGGTCCCTAGAGGGGCTCTTTGGGTTACAGTACTATGCTATGCTGACTAATTGGGTTGTTCGAAAGGGTTGTGCTCTAGCCGCTTGTTTACTTCGAGAGAGACAGAGTCATGATGCAAAGGATGATTGACAAAAGTATTACGTCTAGCTAAAGGTACTGTCTATATGAGAGAGGTGAAGATGGTTGAAAAGTGGACTCCACTGCTCATTCCGTCTTATCCAGGAACACCCCCGACAAGCCAAACTCACATAGTCAGACCGCTCTTCCACCACGTCTCCCCAGCATGCCAACGAATAAGCTGACCACTCCAGCACCACCATCCATCCTGCTTGTCAGGACCCAGACCCACGCCGCGGAGAATCGAAATTGGCACAGGCTCAAAGAGCCATACGCCGCCTCTTGCAAAGTCACTGCACAGCAAATGAGCAGTAAGGTAGAACCAAGCATGGACATAGACAAACGTCCACGTTTTCTTCAGCCACCCAGGTAACCCCCGTCCTATGCCGGCCGCACGCGCAAGCTGCGTGAGCCAAATCTCTGCAAAGATAGCACCAGCCTGGAGCAAGAAGAACGCCATGGGACCCTGCAGAGGCTGCGTGTCGCCCGCGCAAGTCACACTCCCACTCGCATGCACGACGCCACTTAGGAAGAAGGCAATGAGCAACTGCAGCATCTTGGCCGCCTTACTCTTCCTATCCAACCGCAGCACTTCATACAGCTTACGGCTAGGCTCTTGAAACGCAAAGCGGAACGTCTGATGCCACCAGTTGCCCCACCAGCCGGCGATGCCGTTGTCGAGCACGACGCTGTAAGGCGCCCACGTCTCCGGGTACATCCATGGTTCTGCACGGGCGCCAAGTAGCGAGGGTGAGAGGACGCCGCTGAAGAAGAGGGGCGCAAGGGAGAAGACGCATTGCAGGGCAAATTTGATGCCGAGCATCGAGAGCACCATGCGGTATGCGTGAGTCATGTGTGGCGAGCTGGTGATGAGTGAGGGCAAATAGGATGGCGGGTCGTGATAAATGTAGCCCCAGAAGTAACGGTCGTTCATCATGGCTGTTTTGATCACGTCAAGGGCTAGATAGCCCGTTGCCAGTGTGCCCAAATTGCTGCGGAGCAGCTCTCCGCGCGTCGCGTACTGCTTCACTTGGCCTGCGTGCGTCTTGAACGAGTGCTTGGGCACAATGTCGCCCGAGTTGCGGTGAAGCTGCATCTGAATCGCCTTTGGGGGCGGGGGCACGGCTGAGATGCGCCAGTTCCAGCCCATGCCGCGAAAGTTGTACACGATGTCATGGACCCAGTCGAGTCGCTCCAGCATCGGGCTGAGAGGAAAGGGCTGCCACGCGAATTCGCCGTGACGATCCTTTGGACCGGCTGAGCTGTTAACAATGTCGTCTCGGGCCGTCTTGTGAACGTCCGTCTCTTTTACTTCAGAAGATCCATTGACTTGACTAGGTTTGCTCGGTCTAAAGACACCTGTGGTCCTCTCGATTCTCATAAAGTCTGTCTGGGCATCGTTGCACACGAGTATCGCAAACACCCATATCGTCATCCATGAGTTGATCAATCCGTTGACCAGTGCTGGTGCCAACCCTCTCATGCGCGTATATCTGATCTTGTACACTGCACACATGAGCACACATGCGAAAACCAGGAACCGGCATTTCTTCAGCCATGGCCGGTTCTGGTGCGGAATCAAAAGGTATATGGTGACCAGTAGCAGGTCGACACATGCCCATGGATACACAAGCGGTTGGTATTCTCCAAATGCAATGGCCTTGTCGTACTGCGCGTAGTGGTACTCTATCACATTGTGGTATGATTCAGGCCACAAATCTGAAGGGCCCGGTGGCATCTTTTAAGTCGAACAAGGGAAAACGGAAGATGAAGTGATTAAGAAAAACAGAAGAGAAAAACTAAGAATACACTGTGGATTCAGCAGAAGCTGACGAATTAAGCGTGGCGGATGCAGAATGCTGTTTTCGTGTCTGCACAGGGTCCAGCTGGTGGAAGGATGGAAAAAAAAGGTGGCGAAGTACGAGCCTGATTATCGGTACTAACTCTTTTGCACCGTATTTGCCGTATCTTTGCTTATTTGCTGGTTGCACCTTTTTGTACATGACGCACTGCATCTTGCAGTCGCTGGAGAGAAAAGAGTTGCGCTAAACCTAAATCAGCCATGGCTCGAGGCATGAGGGCGCTGGCTGCAACACCAAACCTTTCCCATCGTGACATTGCCGCCACACAAAGTACAGCGACATAGTTACCCCCCCTCACCCTAGTCCTTCTCTCTCTTTCTAGCCTGAGCGCACAAATCGAGGAAAGGTCGCCAAGATGGTGAACATTACAGAGAAGATCAAAGAGTGGGACAAGGCCCCTCCAAGTTTTTTGATGTGGCCCTTGGGCTAACGCTTTCCCCCCCGCCAGGATTGAGGAGGAGATGCGGAGGACACAGAGTGAGTTTTTTTACGATCTGCACTACCGAAAATAAGAATTTGAATGCTGACTTGTGTGCATAGAAAATAAGGCTACAGGTATGGCGATTGCCCCTCGTTATGCATGTTTTCACACCCGCGTACAATTCAGTGTCACGTGCTGACATGGACGCACAGAATATCATCTTGGTCTACTCAAAGGGCAAGGCACCAGTCGACTGTATGGAACAAGGATATGCGATTTATTAACAGCTTTTTGTATAGAAAACTCGCTCGTCTCCGCGCACAATTGCTGGAGCCCGCAGCGGGCGCAGGTGGTGGCGGCGGAAGTGGTTTCGATGTGTCCAAGTCAGGTGATGCGCGTATAGCCCTTGTTGGATTCCCGTCGGTCGGAAAGTCGACGTTTCTCTCGAGAATCACAAAGACCAAATCTGAGGCGGCATCATACGCTTTCACCACGCTCACGGCCATTCCTGGTGTGCTCGAGTATGGTGGTGCGGAAATCCAGGTCCTGGATCTGCCGGGTATTATTGAGGGCGCTGCCGAAGGAAAAGGGCGCGGAAGACAGGTCATTAGTGCGGCCAAGACGAGTGACCTGATCTGCATGGTTCTTGATGCTACCAAGAAGGCGGAGCAGAGGCGGTTGCTCGAGGCCGAATTGGAGGCTGTAGGGATCCGGTTGAACCGATCGCCACCGTAAGTTTAGGTTATGAAGGCGCGGAGTGAAGAAAGCTAACGAGATTGCAGTAACATTTACCTCAAGCCCAAAAAGGCTGGCGGCATGAAGATTAGCTTCCAAGTGCCGCCAAAGTATATTGACGAGAAGATGGTGTACAACATTCTCAAGGACTACAAGATGCTCAACTGCGAAGTGCTAGTGCGCGACGAGAATGTCACGGTCGACGACTTGATCGACACAATCATGAAGGACCACCGCAAGTACATCAAGTGTTTGTATGTGTACAACAAGATTGACAGCATTGGGCTGCCGCACTTGGACGAACTGGCACGCGAGCCAAATACGGTAGTCATGAGTTGTGAGCTGGACCTGGGCATTCAAGACGTGGTGGATAGGTGCTGGGAAGAGCTGAGGCTGATCCGGATCTACACCAAGAGAAAGGGATGCGAGCCGGATTTCTCAGAGGCGTTGATTGTGCGCCAAGGAAGCACGATTGAAGATGTCTGTGACCAGGTGCACCGGACGCTCAAGGAGACGTTCAAGCATGCACTGGTGTGGGGAGCGAGCGCGCGACATGTGCCACAAAAGGTGGGCTTGGGCCACGTTGTGGCTGATGAGGATGTAGTGAGCATTGTGGCGAAGTAGGTAGACGCAGACGTGCACAAGTCGCGGGGGCGCATTACGTCGACCCAATGAACGTGTCGAGCAAAGAGGGGTGTCTTACAAGAGCTGAATAGATATCACATCACGTACACACCCACTACACTATCCTTTGTTGGCGACGAAAAGCCAGCGCCATGGTGGCGTGTCGGCGGCGGTTGTTCAGGCATCCGAGCATGCTCCGAGGATCGGATGAGAAGATCTGATAAGGGCAATGCCGCCCTGCCCCTGTCAGCCCATGCTCGGATTCAACGGATGTTTCATTTCCGCCGTGCGAGACTGTGATGCGAGATCACGTGAGCGCGCTCTAAACGGGCAGCTGGCAGCGCTGATTGGCAGGCCGAGGGGGCGGTTGTGTGATTGACAAGCAGTCGAGATGGACGGAACCCTGGCAGCCCAGGGCCGCTTTGCCTTGGGCCGAAAAAGTCGTCGCTACGACCCGTTTATTATTGCTACGCCCGCGCAGTCTTGGAATCGCCGTCCTGCGCCCTCATTTGCCCTTTTCCCCCTTCTCCCCATTGCTTTTTGTCGTCGTCTTGTCATCCCCATATCTGGCCTGTTTCAACCACACTGGGCCCTTGTTTTCGTCGTGCGCAGCCCGCTTCCATTAGACCCAACGGCGAATCGCACTTCTTCGGTACCTGACTATCCTCCCACTAGGCGGCTCCCCACGTCACACCTACATCAGTCATGGACGTTGTCCTCGAGGTGGCAGACACCTTCATCTTCGACCCCCTATATGCCAAACTCCTGCCTGCATATCCAGCCGCCCTTGTCGCCAATGCCACTCTATCCAGCATCCGCGAGGAGCCTACCGCCTATGCCCGCCCGCACGCGACTTGGCACTATGAGCCCGCCACCCAGTTCTTCTCCACGACGCCATCCAAGTATGCCTACATGAGCCAATGGCCGCGCGACGACTGGCGGCGGCAGGCGCTGTCCTTGTACCTCATTACTTGGTATGCTCTCTCTCTCTCTTTATTCCTCTCTGCCATGCAGCTCAGTACCAACATGTACACACCCTGCTCACACTCCAATCCACAGGCTCTTCGGTGTCCTAGTCTACTACATCTTCGCGAGCGCCTCCTACTTCTTCATCTTCGACAAGAGCACCTTCAACCACCCGCGATACCTTAAGAACCAGATCAAGCTTGAGATGAAACAGGCCAACATTGCCTTTCCCATCATGGCCATCTTCACCGTGCCCTTTTTTCTTGCAGAGGTCCGCGGGTACTCGAAGCTATATGATACAGTCGACCAGGGTCCAGGATTGTGGTACAACTACATGCAGTTTCCATTTTTCCTCTTCTTCACCGACTCGCTCATCTACTGGATTCACCGCTATCTCCACCACCCTCTCATTTACAAGCATATCCATAAGCCACACCACAAGTGGATCATGCCTACTCCCTATGCCTCGCATGCTTTCCACCCATTGGACGGTTATGCCCAGGGTCTGCCCTACCACATCTTCCCGTTCCTGTTCCCGCTGTCCAAGTTTGCCTATGTCCTTTTGTTTGTTACTGTCAACATCTGGACTGTTTTGATTCATGACGGCGAGTATGCGCACAACTCGGCCATTATCAACGGGGCTGCATGCCATACCATGCACCACCTGTACTTTAATTACAATTACGGACAGTTTACCACTCTCTGGGACCGTCTGGGTGGCAGCTACAGGAAGCCCAACGACGAGCTCTTCCAGAAAGAGCTCAAAATGTGCCAGAGCGAGTGGAAGAAGCAGGCTGAAGCCGTTGATAAGATGGTCCTGGAGGTCGAGGGTGGCACCGACGACCGCACGTATTCATCCGACGAGCCCAAAAAAGTCCGCTAGGCGCAAAGATGGAGAGAAGACAATTGACACGTTGGCAAAGAATTTTGAAATGTCGTTACGAATGAGATTACGGGTGCCAAGGTCTAGTAGGCGATTCAGGTCGATACGTCATCGGCCATGCAACTGAGGGCATTTTTTTTGCTTGTACATTAACATTCTTCGCCCTCGCTGTTACATCGGAAATTTTGGGTATAATGGTCTTGCTCGGGGCAGCGGGATTGACATGTAATATGGCGGGGAATCGGCAAAGATTCTCTTGTCAAGAACAAATAATTGTAATGAGATTAGCACCTAACTGACCGCCCACGACTCGAACACTCTTTTGACTGGACGACGATGGCCTGAAACCGGCTCGGATTATTTGAGGCAAACGTGGGAAATGGCCCTACTCCGGCCCGCCTTTGGGGATTGGAGGAAAGATACGCGTCTGTTGATCCTGGCCGATGCGCAACTTTCCTAATAGTATAAACACACCGCATAGTAGCCTCCCCTTGCATGATGTGGCAGGGACTGATTGGGATAGGATTAAGTCACACCGAGTAGTTTCGGAATCCGGATTTGGACGATCGTCGGACTGCGACATTCTGGAAAAAGGTTAGAATCTCACATCATCGGCAAGTCTCGTGGCCTATAGTGTCTTGACCGCTCTTAAGTAAATTGCCTCATTTGGCGCTCTACTTTCCACAATGACATATAAGACTGACCATCCACCAACACCACCACAGACCTATATAAATACATATTCACCATTTCCATATAATCGCCACACACACACACACACACACACATACATACAGGCACATACACCCCGCCGCCCACGATGTTGACTTCACCCGACCTCCCCATTTCGATAGTGTGCGTGCACGCCGAGGGCGAAATCGGCGACGTTATTATCAGCGGAATACCAGACCCAATGCACTGCAACACAATGTACGAAAAGCTGGTGCACTTTGAGACAAAAGCAGACCACTACCGACAACTACTCATGCAAGAGCCACGAGGGCGCGTCTCGCAATGTATGAACCTGCTGCTCACACCGTGCCATCCAGAAGCCGACGCAGGCTTCCTCACCCTCGAGAGCGACGAATACGCAACCATGAGCGGTAGCAACACAATATGCGTCACAACAGTGCTACTCGAGACTGGCCGTATCGCCATGAAGGAACCCGAGACCAAAGTCGTGCTCGACACAGCAGCGGGGCTTGTGCGCGTCCGCGCCCGCTGCGCCGGCGGCAAGTGCCTCAGCGTCGAATTCGACAACGTCCCATCCTTTGTCTACGAACTCGACGTGCCCGTCTGCATCCCTGGCATTGGCGACATCTCTGTCGACGTAGCCTGGGGCGGGATGCACTACGCAATCGTGTCTGCGGACGCAGTAGGCCTGAGCATCGAGCACCAGCACGGCGCTGATCTGATTCGCATTGGCGAAGCCATCCGCAAGAGCGTCCAAGACATTTACGAGCCGGTGCATCCGCTCAACAACGGGATCCGCGGTGTGTCGACGATGCAGTTTACAGAGCCTATCCATGTCGAGCTTGTTTCATCCTCATCAGCGGCACCGGACGAGCTTCCGGTCAAGGTCAAGACGGCCACCAACACGGTTGTCGTGTCGCCAGGCCGCCTCGACCGCAGTCCTTGCGGCACGGGCACGTCGGCACGCATGGCCGTCCTGCATGCTCGTGGCCAATTGGCCGTGGGCGAACCTTTTACTCACAAGAGCATCATTGGCACAAAGTTTCAGTGCAGCATCGTCGGTACCACAAAGGTCGGCCGCTACGACGCTATCTTACCCCGCGTCAGGGGCCGTGCCTGGATCACCGGCTACAGACAAGTCGTTGTTGACGAGGAGGATCCCTTTCCTCTTGGCTTCAGGGTCGGAGATATGTGGGGGCCGGACTGCGGCAATGCTGGTATGGCCGTGGACAGCTGAAAAAAAAATATTTCTTGTTTTGTGGAAGAAAAGGACTTTGAGGGGGGGAATGCGTGTGTCTACTATGTTTGGTTTGTATAAGAGTTGTGTGCGTATATGGCTTTATGACTTGATAGATGGTGGCGGCCTCTTATTTTTTTTTTTCTCCCCAAGAGCTGGTCTCTTTTGGGAGGCTCTTTTTTTTTTAAAAAAAATCATTTCGAAGGTGTTTGGGTGTTTGATGAGAGAGGCATACTAGCAATAGTAACGTTGTTTTTTTTTTTCGGGGGAGCGAGAGGGGGGGATAGAGAAGATTAGATATATAGATTCATACAAGCAATTGTTGTAACATTGATTATTGGGTTTTGATGCACGTTGTATTACTTTGAGTACCTTTTTTCTTGTCCTTGCTGGTTTAGGAATTTTCAAACAATACGCTTTTTTTCCCACCAAACTCGCAAAGAACATGTTCACTGCGTTCATCTTCCCCACTAAATGTTACCTGCCATTATTTCCCTTTTCAGAAATAGAGCTTTTTGCGTCGGACTCGTGCATAAACTTAATTTTTTTTTCTCTTGTGCTCACGGACAGAAAATCAATTGCTTGCATGGAGCACGTGTGATTTTTTTCTTCCCGGAAACCTTATTTGACGCCCATGGCGATCGGATATGCAATAATGGTATCCTTGGTCAGCTTACGTTGGACGTGGGTCAGAACTCGATTTACTTCCTGAATAAGGAATCGGCTCGACGCATTCGGTATTGCTGTCTATTTTTTTTGGTCGTACAAATATCGACAATTGCCATTGTCGACGTAGTGAACGATGACATTCTTATAAGAAAAAAACTCGCCATCTGACTACAATGTATCCTCCATGCTTTGCCTATGATACAATCGCTATGGTTTGTATGTTTTGCAAATGCATTTTCCGACGCCGCAGAACATGCTTTTCAAGTTTTTTTTGTACCGAAGAAGCTTTCTTGAATTTTTTTCTTCATTGACTACTAGAAAACCTATCTTCTAGCCAGGTATCTAGTCTACTTCAGATATCCTGTATCATTTGATACACACAACTAGTTACAAGCATGTCCTACCAACTGTTCTTGCTTGTAGGCTAGCTTTCGTATAAGGTGACTTGAAACACAGATATGAAGATGAAGTTCTCTGTCTGTCAGAACTGCTTTATTGTATATGTAGGCCTGATCCGATACAAAAACTGCCTTGAATAGCGTCACTAGGAGGAACTTCCATAGATTCTCTCATCACTAAGAATCTTATGACTTTCATTGTTTGCGTCTGTTTGATAAATAGCACACCGGATGATTTTTCTCAGAAAAGAATGGCAGACTCCATTAGTCTTGTAGAATACGATAGGAGAGAAAGTATTCGATAGATTGAAGTTGTTGCTTGGGCTTGTCAAGGCAAATGTGTAAAATTTGTGTTCTATGGAACTTCCACGTGGATCGAGATGTTTTGCTGGTAGTGTTTGATGCAAATTTAATGTGACTAGGAAGTAACATTGTAGTAGTGTAACATGGAGCACAAAGGCATCGAAACATGATAAACTCCCGGTATCAAGTCTAGAATTGAGATCTGAAACATTTCACTTGTGGATTTTCAGTGAGGTGCTTGGAGAGTATGAAATAGCGTAGTGGAAAAGAGATGATTTCAACCCAGGACAGTATTCCTATCCTTTCAATTTTTAGTGTCACAAAAATTGCAGAACATTAGAGAGAGCTCAGAAAAGATAGAGCACAGGTTGAAGTGGAGCACTGTAGGTACAGGAGAAAATGCAGTGAGGTGATACATTGGGGTAGTAACGAGTCGCTAGAGAACTACTTGGACAACTGAATGCCTCATTTTCGAGAAGAAAAACTCTAAGGCAGCAGAGGAAGATGTTTGGATGCGTTCGTCAACTTTATGAGTAAAATGGGTTGTCAAGAATATCTCTGCGTCCGTCGTGTAAAACTTGCTTTTCAAATATCATTTTCTCAATTACTAACGATGCTGCCAAGTGGCGGACTTCCTAAGAAAGTGGAATAGCGACAGGTTATTCTAATTTTCAAGATAATTGAGAAAACTGTACTTTGAACCACGTATACCCATCTACATGCCGACGAGTCCAAGATATCCAGCTCTCAATCACCCGAGGTACATTCCTTCAAACCCCCTCACCTCACCTCAACAGCAAGCCACCTTCATCGTATCGACGATGTTCTCGAAATTTCCCGTTTACAATATACATACATCCTCCCGCTCCCCGTCAACCCTCAAACGTCATCTAAGCCTCAACTGCTCAAACCCTCCAAAAAGCATCCATCACTAACCCGCAATCCAACGCCAAACCCCTCCCATTCCCCGGATCCTCATTTTGAAGTAACATTCCAGGCAGGGAACACAGAAAAAAAAAACAATAACTCGAGAAAACTCCCTTGATGCACCCACGCAAGCCCTCACAGTAACCAAGGACCCTCTCATCAAAATCCCGTTCCCCCGCCCAACCCCACGACGACAATAAAAAAGAACCCCCACATCCCGAATTGAACTTTCGATGCAGCGACACGCAGCGCAGACCTAGAATCCTTTACCTTGTCCAGCTTCCTCCCACCCCCCCATGTACCACATGAAACCCCCCATTCTGCAGTCGCAATCCAAAGCGGTCTAAACAGCTAACTTCCGCATACCCTTCTTCCCCCCGATCACCCCATTCACACACACACGCATACTAGGCCTGACATCTTCTCTGATTGGAAGACCAGATGCATGCGCGGGCGTGGGGTGGGGTGAGGGGCGCGCGATTACGATCGAACCCATGGGTAATATTCAAGGAAGGAAGTGGAGCCACACACACACACACACACACACACATCCACATACAGCGACAGAGATAGAGAGATAGAGATTGGAAAATCGAAATGGTTACTGTATGTATGTTTGTACATGTGTACTGCAGGATAGTTACAAGGGGTGGGGAGGGGGGAAACGGGTATACAACGCACAAGGGAAAGGGTAGGCGAGAAGGAAGGGAAGGAAGGGGAGACAAGGTCCGGCATCCTTTTCCTTATACCCGCCCGCCTGAAATGTAGGGTAGAAAAGAGGAAAAAAAAAGGATGGCCACGCCTCCCCACTTTTTATTCTTCCTTTGCGTTGCAGTTCCCCACTTTTGGAGACAATAGCGGCGCATATATGGTTGGTCTATGTACCTGTAAATGCGAATTTGGGTGAGGCTGGTGGGTTGAAGTGGGTTTAGTGTGCATCTGCTTCGTGTTTTGTGTAACGGCTCGATACGGATTGGGGGCTTGAAATACCTCGTATTCCCAATTGGAAAGTGGGATAGCGTCTATGTACGGTTAGGGGCTTTACGGTCTTATTGTGGAGAATCTCTTTTGGGAAAATTAGTTGAGAGAGTGTCAGCTGTGCGTGTTGCAAGGTGAGGCGAGTTTGCGTGCCTGGATTTTTTGGGGGAGAACTAAGGTACGTACGTGCGGGTAGGATGGAACGGAGGACGTATAGTACGTCACATGTAGGAGCGCAATAATGCGCTTGGCAATTGGTATGGGTAGTGTAATAATTAGCGGCTTTTGTTAAGATCTTAGAGTGGTATTATCCACGTGCTCATCTGGATAGACGTAGGAGGATTTCACTATACACATGTCTTGACCCCTGACGCACGCCTAGGATGTACCGCTTTTTTGTGCGACGTTTGATGTCATGTATTTTGGTGAGTTGAGTAATTTTGATGTGTCCATATCTGGCATAGCTATGTGGGTAGGATGAGAGGGACTTGGAAGCGAGCAACTAACACGTGCTTTATGCATGATTTTGGGGGCTGACTGCAGCTCGGAGGGAATCGAAAACGATAGTTTAGTAATCTACTGCAGCAAAGTATTGAAGGATGTCAACTGTGAAGAGCACGATCGTCAAGGCGCAAGATGGTGAAGGGCCATGGTCGCCCAGGTTCAAACACTGCCCAGCAATTGCACACCGTTCAGAGATGTGATAGAACAAGCGACAGACCGATGCGTCTTGGCCTTGGGATTTTCAAGGCTGATTACTGATCTCATGAAGGATTCGGGGCTGGCGCGATCCCGGGCGATATTGAATGTTCCGCAAAAGGGCTTGTGGCCAACCCCGGGCGCCACGTCCAGGGTTGCGGAGGCAAAAAGGCTTGACAACCATGGTGTTTTGGGGAGGCGTTGAGAGGAGCAGCGGTTGCGGGAACAAGGGATGTAGAGGATGGTGACAGCAACAGGCTTGAAGGATGCTGCGGGCAAGGAAGGGCTTGTTTGGGGGTGGGGATTGTGTAGCCACACCCCTTTTCATCATCAAACAGGACGAGTCTTTGAACGGCATGCCAGGAGTCCGGTGCGGGGACCAGGGCCCAGCGCCGTCAGGCGTAGTCGACGGTTTCGTGATGTACAACATACATAGAGGCTGAGAGTGAGTGGCTAGGCTGGAGCGGTCGCGGGCCTCATGGTCACCATGAGAAGCTGGACGTGCTCTTGGAGGCGTCGCCTGGGAGCCTTAGTGCTGCGTATTAGGTCAATGCATGTGTTGATGGCATCCCACGCAAGGCCAGGGCCAGATGGCATTATGTATGTAGGCATGTACGATCCATAGAGATAGACGAGTGGTTTGTCGGTCTGGTTGGGAGATGGCCGTGGAGCTACTGAGATCTAGGTGTAGAGGCACGGCTCAGGAGGCGCGATTGACGGATTGCGGAAGCGGAAACGGGAGCCGCTCACCGATGAGTACCTGGGGCCATGTGCAGGCCAATTAAGCGGAATCGATCTATTGTTAGGGGGGGGCGCAACAGATCTGATGTTTTCTTCTTGCATCTGCGAGTGCATCGGGGCAGGCGGCTGGGGGAGGGGGGCGTGGTGGGGGAGCGGGTGGTAGAAGGGCAGACTGAAGGGCAGAGGAGGGCAGGCAGCCAGTAGGACCGAGATGGGGCCGACCGTGTCGTTGGGGTGGCGCCCGCCTACCAGCCAACCGCCACCACAGTGGAAGCGCGTTCAAAGCTCGAGGCGACCAATTCGAGCCGGCTGCATGGCGTGTGATTGGCGGGCAGAAGTACCGGTAGCCGCCATGGTGGCACCAGACACCTCTACCCGACACCTCTCGCGGCCTCATGCGCCTGTCCTATTACACCGCGGCCTGCATCGCAAAGCCGCAGGCACACAGCACCTCGCCAATCTGCGTCGCCATCTGCCGCACATCGTCCTCGGGGAGATCGTGCATCGTCGTGACGGCTGTCTGGCCTTGGTTGCAGCGTGCCGTACACGTCCAGCGTGCTGTCGTTCCAAACCACCTCTACCTCTGCCCAGGAGGGCACGGCCCCACCCTGGCCTCGACGCAAATGCTGTCTATGCCACACCACACTTGTTGTTGTTCCTTTTCGAGCGCTGTGCATCGGATGCTGTCACGGATCCTGGATAACCGTGCCCTAAATGGTAGCAGCAGGGACTCGAGGCTCCTCCCTGGTGGGGCTCCTCGAAATACACACACCTCGGCGATCTCTTGGAAACACCAGCGCCGCAAGCACTGACTAACCCGTACTGCACACGTCTGGACATGCTATCTGTCATGGTTGACTTCCCATCTTGCAAGCGCCTGGATACATGACCGCGGCATACTCTGGTCTTGCTGCTTGTGTATTTGAAAGCACTGTACTGGGACCGTCGTTTGGTGGCCGGTAACCGCGACAGGCGAGCGCCGTACCTTTTTCGTCCTCAATCAGTCAACCTATTACTAACATATCAGCAAGTAGACACGCCCACACATAGACCTGCATACTGACATGCCTGCAATGTACTCGCCATCTCTGCCTCTCCACCCACCCACCATCGTTCGTGGTCCCGCTATCTCGGATCGTTCAGGCACATCGGTATCGCATTTTCAGATCATGCACCTCAGCTCTGTTCAAGTTAGCCTCGCTCGCATAATCCCTGCCCCTCATGCGCCTGCCTTGTTGATGTGACACAAACTCGTCATTGTCATCTTCCGAATGCAACCTGCGCCTGCCTTTTGACGCCAAGCGCGCTAGCTTGTAGTCGCGTAATTCAGAGGCCATGTCCTGGGTACAGCACGAAGAAATCCCTGGTCAATGGGCCGGCAGACATGCAGCACAGTCTTTCTGTCCAAGATGAACACACACATCTGGCTCCACTGCCAACCTGACTTGCAGCACACCCACACACACACACACACACACTATCTCACTATGTGGCTCATCTTGGTCGTGAATATTTCCAACCCCGCCACCCACCACACGAGCAAAATAGCCCACACAACATGGGGCCGCCACGCTGGATGGTACTCTACACTCTACGCGAGCCGTGATCGTCCCTCCTTTACAGACACCAACACGGCATCGAGGCCTCTGTCCAAGTACGTAGGACTATTGCTGTGTCAGCGCGAAGTTTGCTGCAACTGCTGCATCTAACCGACCCGTCATGTCGAGTTTCAAGTCATTTGGCCCTACCCATGCAATATAGTATCCTCTCTGGGGCACCGGGACTGTGTGCATCCCGTGGCCTAGTGTAATAAACCTCCGAGCGTAAAGACGAGGGTGAGGGCAGGAGTCGAGGGCTAAATAGGCAGATGGATTCGGACCTTCAAGGTTCGTAAAGGGTCTGGATGCAGGGATGTAGAGGAGGCCTGAGAAAGAAAACCGCAAAAGGATGAAAAGCAACAGATTGCCAGCGTGATTACCTGAGGCAAGCGCCCATGATCCCTTCCACGTGTTGTGGCACGTTGCGGCCCGCTGCAAAGCAAAATCTGACCCGCTTCAGCCTGGATGAAATGGAAACAATTACTGCGAAACAGTCTACGTTGAATCCAGCAGATACAGCACAAGTTGCATCTAACAGGCCTTGGACTGGTTGCGAGAGCAGTTGCATGGCACTACCATATCTCGCATGACAACATGGTCGATAACAATACGATGCCGTGCATTGCATCTCAACTGACCGGGACGCTTGTCTCGCTTATATGCATCTTGGAATATTTGCGGTGAGAGTGGGTTATATGCCCATAATGGCGAGATGGGTGAACTTATTGGGCAACACAGCCGAAGGCGAGCCTATGATCGTCTTGAATCCTTCTGGAATCCACCTTTGATTTTACCCGCCTGAGCAAATGTAAAGCTCGAATTTTCTTGCTGCCGGCACAGCCCATGACTGCCAGCGATGTATGTATGCAGATGCCGGCAGAGATGATCGAGATATACCCATGCATGGTTTTGCTGTAGTATGACGCCTGGATTTATCCGGACCATTGTCTTCTGATCCTCATTGCCGGATCAACGTCGGAATTAGGCCTTGTTCCGGCATGTTGGAAGCAGCAAGGGATAAGTACGGTCAAGGCCTTTGAGGCCTCTTCCCTGCGCCAGCTTGTCCGGTGAGGAGTGACGCTGCACTGCGAGACAGGCGCGGGTGCGAGGTCAGACATGGTTGACATTGGTCATGTAGCACAACACGAGGCCTCGGCGGTGTGCACGGCGTCAGAGATGCGGTTGTTGACCTGCACAGCAATGGGGAGCCAAATGCTCACGAGGGGTAGAGGAGCGGTGACATCTGGCTTGCCGGCTGGAACGTGGTTGTTGCTACTACTACGTCCTGACATGATGCGGTGAGGGGGTGCGTGACGTGAGCCATTGTCGCGGCGCCTAGAGGAGTGCATGCGTTTGATAGATGCGACCATAGCCAAGGGCGACCGCATTGTCACATAATGTTGTATGTAATGTGTGTATGGGGGTGTGGGTGTGGGTGTGGGTGTGGGCGTGCAAGTAGGTAGGAGGGCAGGGAACATGGTTCATCCACGTCGTCAGCGGGCGGGGAAGGACTCGGGCCTGTCCGTTTGGACACTTGACACTGCCGCTGCCTCGATCGTCTAACCCAGGTGAGCCTGACAGGACAAACTGTGCGCCTTGACGCAGCGGGTGGGAGATCCGTGTGCCCTGGAGAGATGGCCCTAACGACTGACGTGCATGCCATGAACTAGTGGAAAGCCTTGAGCGACCCGCCTGGGGCGTGAGCACGCCTGTCCAGACGACTGGTGCAAGGATGACGGCCAGGCTAGTGGGTGATCGCAGGTCGCATTTGCCCGAGCAAGGGCCGCGGCTTCTTGCCGATGGTTCCGCGCACCGCCGCCGCTGCTGCCGTCCGCATCGCTGCGCTTGGACCAGCGCATGATTGAAACATCGACTGCACGCTATCAAGTCGATTGGCCTTGTCGTGATGCCGACCACAACGAGCGCTCGCGCCACCCTAGCCTCCGCAGTGCTGCCCCATTGGGCCCGTGGCCATGGTCGTTGTGCAATTGGCCTGCCAGCCCTATCCTCTCCATGGCCCTCGACGAGGAATCCCGTCCTTGGGGCGGCCATGTCACTCGACACCGCTGTCCTGTGCGTGTGGCCACGATACTCTGCTTGCATCCATCCATCCATGTATCCGGTCTGTATACTACCCTCCAACGGCTCTCCAGCCTCTGCCGATGGCCTGCCGCCGCCGCTGCTGCCGCTTGGCAATCTCCAGAAGGGGGAGATGAGGCAGACGAGGCCATCTCGCCATAAGTCCAGTGCATGTTTGAGGCTACTGCAGGTCCACCATTCGGGATGCTGAATTTCCTAACAAGTTCAGCCACTCATCCACACCCGTCATAGCCACTGGGCCGGCAATACGCAATCGAGAGGAAGAGCCGTCAAGACAATAGGGACCCCTGTGCTTGGTGCCATCGTGGCCAGCACCGAGGTCCAAGCAGCGCCTCGCTAATCGGGGCAGTGAAGGGGTCTCTGCAAGACTCCCGTGTGCCACAGATTACATCTTGATGCCAGCAGCTAGGTGCAGGATCCATGTCAAAGGGGGCTTGCCACTTCCCACGCGCATCTCAACACACAAACACTGAGGCTAGGCGGACAAGTGAGGGGGCGTTCTCATGCCACAAGCAGCTTCGAGTGCATGCCATGATGATGTGGATGGCGACGCTACTTCACTGCGGTCGTCTCAAAACCGGCATTTGCGCAGGTCCAGGAAACTGCGTGTATGTTGCATGTCGCGCATACGCTTCACCATCTCTAGTTCAGACACAGACAGACAGTGAGTAAAAGTAGAGGGCTGGTATGAGCGCAAGGTCGGCATATCGGAATTCCGTGCTCGGTCAGAGCTCTCGCTTTAGTGTACGTCAATGCTCTAGTAGAGTGATGTTGCAGATGGTTGAGCGTCCATGGCATTAGCCTGGGATTGCAAATAGCTCATAGTAAAAACGGTCGTAATCAGGCTGCTCGTGATCGCCTGCGACTATCTCGGTACCCGCAAAAGCCACAGGCCTGCTAATCGGGTAAGGGGGGAGATCGAGAAGTCTGGTACTAGAGGCCGTTGGCTGCGACTTGAATCGCGCAATAGCGACGGTGCACCAGGCAAGAGTCGACGGGCAGGCGGCGGGGGCCCTAGAGCATGTCGGCGACGATAACGCCACGGGAGATCTGAGTTCACAGGTGGAGACAGCTGACGGCGGGTTGCGATGGGGGATTTGATCGTCTGTGACACCCTCGGCGTCTGTCCACTGCTGACGCCCTGAGGAAGGTTCTAAACGTGGCCAGGACGCGGATAGAAGGGTGTAGCAGAAGCATTTCGACGCAGTACTAACCCAAATCGAGGGGCAGGGTTCCGTCCGACCATCGCAGTGGGATGTACATCGTGTTTCACAGTTGCCGTATGGCGTGAATAAACAAGTCGAGTTGGGGCGACGAGGACAGGACCCAGGCTTGGCGCAAGGCACGTGATGCCGCCCACCTCCACGGCTGCCCCATTCCTAAACTTTGTCTGTCCACACAAACACCCATCTTCCAAACACCGACCAGTGCGTCGAGCACAGTTGAATTGCGCAACCAATGCCTTGAGCATCCGCGCTGATGGCGTTGTACGCCAGGGACCTCGACCTAGCGCCCAGGTGGGGCGGTACGGCCATCCACTGCCCCGTATGACAGTCGGGGGTTCCCATACAAGCTAAAGGCAGCTAACGTCAGTCGGGAAAGTTACAATCAACTTTACGTCTGGGCGGAACTACAGATTACCTAAGGTACTTCGCAGCCCGGGCGTGCAATTCGCGGGTGTCCTCTGATGAGCTTATTCGCTTTCTCCCATGATTGGCGCTCCGGAGGGGGGCTTCATATGCGGTCCCGTCAACGCCCCGGGAAGAAGCGTCGACCGCCACGACGCCGGCCAGTGTTAGATGCAATAGCGCAAATCTGCAACCACGTGTGGTTGTACGGGACACCGAGGGCCGCGCTCGACACTACGCTGCCACACCAAGACGAGAGGCAAGCCACGACAAGCCTGCAGGCGATGATCCTCACTGGGATTCCCGACCAGGCCTGCCTAACTCCCGTGCCTGCCAGAGGGGTCGGACGCGCACACCACTGTCGAAACAAAGTGGCAATGTTTCGACAGCCTCATGCGACTCCAACCACGCGCTGGAAACGTGTGTCAGAGCCGTGCCAGTGTCGCTGAGCCCCATTGAGTGCGCGGTTCTGGAGAGCTACCATGGCGATCTATGTTTCGCCCAATCGAGCGTGGCTTGGGCGGCCTCGATGGGACGACCCCCACACTGCACATGAGACGGCGACGCCATGGGTCTGTTCACACCTGGGACAGTACCCCGGTTCTGCCCTGAGGCTACATCCTGGTCGCATGTCGTGCCCCGTAACCCCCCCATAGCGCCCCCTGCCGGTCAGCTCTGCACTAGAACCACCATCCACCATTGCTTGGCCTGCATGCGAGAGCGATGTTCCTTGTCTCTCCTGCTGCAAGCATGTCCGCTCCAGTCTCTGGGCCACACGGGCTCCACAACAATCACCATCCTTGCTTTGCGGGATACTCACAAGTGGTAGTGTATCGGGCTGGCCCATCCATATGTAAAGACCAGAGACTCCCAACCAGATCGATCGAACAAATCTACAATACTCCCACGTCATCCGATCTTGTATCTCCATCTCATCACCCTGTTGCCGTCTTGATACCCTCTTTTTTCAAAAAAGCTTCCGGCCCAAGCCGTACTTACCACTTTCTCTCCTGCTTTATCCCCGCCCGTCTCATCCGCGGACTATACCCTCAGCACCTCACCGTCTGCTCTGTGGTACCAGCTTCTTTCCCTTAGCATGGCCGCTGTTGTTGCATCTCATCAGTCTGGTCTTTGGCAAGAACGACGGGAACCTCCCTTTCAAATGCCCAACATGCACAGCTCTAGCATGATCCCTCAGTACGACACTTCGCGCGCCGCCACCAGCGCGCCAGTCTCGCGGAGCTTCCAGCCCACTTCCACACAAATGGACATGAGCATGCCTCTCTACTCGTCCAATGGCCTCCCCACCACTGTCCCCTACCAGCCGGGACAATTCGCATACGACACTGCGCCAGTGAACCCATATACTATGCAACAGCCGTCGTACTACCAGTCGGGTATCCCACACCCCGTGTCATACCCACCATCGACCGATGTTCAGCAACTTCCAACAGTACGAGATAGCCGGAATCTCTTCAACCCTCTGGTCAAGGCCGAAAGCACATCGCCTCTTCAATCCAACCCGATATATGGCGAAACATCTTACCCATCCGATGCTAAGCGTTCCAACTCTGTCCCGACAGAAGGCACTTCTGTTCACTTCTCGACCGACGTAGACACTCTGATGAAAGCCATCCAAGCAAAACAGACCACCCCTTCCGAGCCAGCGGAGCCCAAGGTACGTACTCAGCACCATTTGAAAGTCTATCGTCTAATCAGAAAGCAGGAGGACGCCACCAAGCCCTCTCAAAAACCTCGCAAGCGCTACCAATGTACTGTCCCTAACTGCAACAAGAGCTTCTATCAGAAGACTCATCTCGAGATCCACATCCGCGCTCACACTGGAGCCAAGCCATTTGTAAGGCTACTGTCACGTTGAAACATTTGCACCGATCTGACCTCGATTGTAGAACTGCAAGGCCCCAGGTTGCGGGCAGTCATTCTCGCAGTTAGGTAACCTCAAGGTGAGTTCTTCCACTGCCACCCATCCACGTAGCATACTAACATGGTCAGACTCACGAGCGACGACACACTGGCGAACGACCCTACAGTTGCGATATCTGTGGCAAAACCTTTGCTCAGCGGGGCAATGTACGAGCACACAAGATTGTGCACCAACAGATCAAGCCTTTCACCTGCAAGCTTGACGACTGTGGCAAGCAGTTTACTCAGCTCGGTAACCTCAAGGTGTGTACTGCTGAGAAGACCTCGACCCTGCGATCAGACGCTGACAAAACGCAGTCACACCAGAACAAGTTCCATGCCACTACCCTCCGATATCTTACGACAAAGTTTGCAACCATCAGCATGGGCGACTGGGTGTCCAAAGAAGATAAGGAGCTCTGGGAGTACTTTGCCTCTCTATACAAGAACTCCAACAAGGGCATCAAAGGTCGTGGCAAGGACCGGCGCATCTCAGCCATGTCATCGTCGGCCTCGTCTTATCCTTCATCGTACCCCGCCATGCCAATGGCCTCAATGTCCCGAAGCTATGGCGGATCTTTCCATCACAGCAGTGAACGCAGCAGTCGAAGCTCCTCCATGTCATCTGATACCATCCAGCGAGTAGACAGCGGGTACGACTTTAACGTTCCCATGCCAACAAGCTACCATCAACCTCCTGCCAGCGGATACGACGACATGGTGTTTCCGGAGCGCAAGCTATATTAAACATTTTCTCGACACGGCCGTCGACTTTTCCTATGGGCTAGGGGTTCTTGGGCACGGTTCAGGCGTTATGGGACAGCGGCGCTGGTTTACAGTTAGGATTTGAGGCAACGGGTGATCAGTACCCCAGCTAGCGCAGCAAAGGGCACTGCCTTTCATTTCACATTGGTCTTTAGACGGTAGTCTCATGGCATCGCTACGCATTAACAGTAATGTCTTTCACGCATTTCCATGTATCCTTATGCGCTCATCGCAACCAAAAAAATCATGTATACGTATCAAAGTAAAGGGGTTTGCTGTTTGTAGCAGCGTGTATGCGCTCAACACTGTATCAATAGTTTCACAAGTAGGATAGCAATCAACTTGGGGTCGAACAAGATACCCTGTAAACTGTTCGGTCTGACGGTGTGTTCCAGTCACGAGACTGGGGGCCCAGATGTTGCGTTGTGCAAAGACACTCACCGCTTGATGAGCAGTAGTGAGCTAAAGCCTACATACATACATTGCGCATGCTTGCTGCAAGACAATCCTTCGGCCTCACCACAGCTGGCTTCCAGTCGCCACACACCATGTCGTTTCTAGGGGGGGCATATGCACTTACGATGTNGGGTGGCAGGATCAGTGACCTTGGGTACAGTACAATAGTCCGGATTGCTGAGGGGATTGGACAGCGACAAGACATTTTGCCGCGATGAAGTCGGCCAGTGTAAGTACGTGATTGGATGCCAGTCTGTCCGCCTGTTCCGCGACTAAGACACAGCCCTGATAATGAGAGTCACATAGCGCAAGTTACATGGCAGTGCCTGATAAAGCCGCACGAAACGACCAGGAGGTCAAACCTTGCGTGGGTAACTTTGCAGGATTTGAACAGCTCAGCAGCAGTGCGGATGCAGTCATCCGCTCAGGTAGCAGAGACGCTGATGATAAAAGACGCTGACTAGCAATCTCGTAAGGCTGGTAGCGAGGGGACTCGAGTAAGAGGGTTCCGTCTCCACCCAGAGTTGCGTCGCGGAACCTGGCATCAATGAGCTTGTTGAGCGCTCATTGGCCCGGCAGAAAAAGATACTCATCCCGCACTCCCAGTGACAGCCAGATCTCCGACTAGTCCGCTTCTTGCCTCCAGTTTCAGGCCGACATGTATGAGTACAAGCATGTCGATGGAGTCTTGCCAAAACGGCCGCTCCAAAGTGCGGCCAATGACTAAGTGTGACAGTCTACGCTCTGGGCGCTGTGGAAAAATATGCTCTCCCCCCACCCCCAACCGCTTCCCCTGGTCGAGCAAGAGGCAAAAAGGAGGGTTCGATGTCGCCATCGCGCGGCCCATCATTCTCACGATACGTCACGTTGGCGTTGTTATCTCTGGACCATGACGTTGGGAAACGTGATGACGATGCAAACGCCCAAGGGATTTGGGACAAAAGCCTCACTTTTTCTTATTTTAGCTTCAAGGCCTAATGCTCACGACCAAGGCCACGAAGCCACCGACAAAGTCGCTCGACGAGTTGACACTTGACGCTTGACATTTGACACCTTGGCCCCTCCTAGACATGATCAGCATCCGTGCTAGCTGTCGATCTCTTTTGTCTACGCAGGTCCAGAGCCTTTTGCTACCTGAGAGATGACGTCGTCGTCCGCGCCAACCCAGCCAGTCGCCAGCCTGGACATGGGGCGGGTGGAAATTTTTCCACCTTTGGTAAGATAGATGGTCATGAGTCGGGGTTGCGCAGCCCGAGCAGCAATCACAGGTACGTACATACCTACACATGCCTACATACAATAAAACGGATAGCGAGCAAAGTTTGGACCCGCTGCGGGGGCACCGGGGCGGCGATTCAGAGGCACCGCTAAGCATCCACCTGGTCTATAGTTTTAAGTATGCTCTACCGAAATCCTACTAGTGGTCAGCCTCCTCGTACCCACGTCCTTGCTGAACCTGACAAAAGTTACGCAAAACGGACACGAAAGATATGCCTCAACCCGTCTCATCTACCAAACGGGGTTCGTGATGATTTTTGCTCTGACTTCGCTCGCGGGTGGGGTGTGGGGGGGATTGATGACAATATTGGGCGGCTCGGCAGAATCACGTATGTTGCGTTACTACCCCAACCAAGTGTCACTGTTGGCGTTCTATACGCCACTTCGTGTCTCTCTCCTTCACTTCCTCACCCTCGCCCTTCCCTTACTACCCACACCTAATTGCGGTAATACGGTACGAACAAACGCGCGTCCCCCGCCCTCTGCTAATTCGCTACGATTTTCCGGTAGTTTTCCTGTAGGTCGTGCTGAAGCTCCGCAGCGGGCCGCTGTCGCAACCGCCCGCAAAGGTCGCCGGCAGCGCACATGCCGTCTTGGGCCGGTGTCAATCATCAACGCTTTTGTAGATAAAGTCGCCGTTGGCCTCGTCAAAATGCCGCCTTTGGCCTGCGCATCCCTGGCCGTTGGGTTACTTGAAACTCTTTGATTGCGGCTTACCGATTCGCCGGGCTTTCATTTCGCCCTGTCCCGTACCGAACCTAGTCCACCTGAAAAAGAGCCATCCGAGTCAGTGGAGGTTTGGCCCTGGGTACCTGTGAGAAAAGCCCAAGCCTTACTCGTGACCGCGGGCCTCACTCCGCTGACTAGGTATTTGAGTCGTGCCACAGGCGGGGCGAAATGGAGACCGAATGCGCTGAAGGCGAATGCGAACAAAAGGTGGGTCAAGCCCATCTCGAATCGGCCACGCAAACATCGCCAGTGTCAAAGTATGCAAACTGGTTTGGTTGTCACCAGTACTCCGCATTGTGAACACATTGCGCAGCCAGAAACAGCTGCTCCATGCGCTGTGCGCTGTTGAGAAAACATGCACCGCTTGCAATTCAAAGGCTTCCTCGCAGCATTCGATCCATCACCGATCGCCCCGATCCTAGCAGCACCCCGGCCCCAGCTACCAACACTTGACTACATTTCTCTGCCTTTGCTTCTTGGTTGGACGTTGATTACTACACCGCATTGGTACCCGTCCCTAGGTACATGACTCGGCAACTCCACTCTCGCGCTGCGAACCTGTGGCCTGAAACCTACGTCAAAAGTCACACGACGCCCATCGCCTTGCCAAATTGGCCACCTCTGGACTCTGAATAAATTACAGGCACCGCATGCAATGTCGTTCTGCAATGCTTGCTCGGAGAGTTTCGCGCAAGATACAGGGTTTGTATGGCGGCGGAAGAATAAGTATGTCCTATGCATACTCGTTGCAGCATACCAAACCCTAAACGACAAAGGCCTTGAAGAATGTAGAAACAAGACCGCGCGCTATGGAAGCATCGCGATCGCCTTGGGTCAGCGAGGGGGTCAGCGAGGGGATGATCGTGGTCTGATTCATGAGCGCACACATCGTGCTCTCGACCATCTTGGTAAGGACCTCCACCTCACTGTCTATGCACGTCTCACTTTGACAGTGAAGAAAACCTCCACCTCGACCCTGCCAAATTTCTTGCTACTTAATCAAGTATACGTCTTACACGTGGGCTTTGTGTAACGACTTTTCCTGCTTGGGACGATCCATAGCCGTTTTGGGACCGACGTGCAGTCGTGCGACTGCTTCATCCAACACGTCGGACTCGGAGGTTCACCAATTCCAAGCTACTATGCCACTTCTGGATTCCAGCCCAACGTTAATTGGGTCACAGGCATAGATGCCTCATGCATCCATTTCCCTTCTTCACTGTTACACTAACTATCGCGTGTGCGCTTTGCACCTCGCACTCGCATCTCCAAAAAAAAGTTGAAGATGAGTTTATTGATTCGGCCAAGTCCGCTTGTGTGCAGCTTTTCCTGCATTGTGGATGTCTCCGTTGTCATCGTCCTTTTTCGGACATTGATGCGACTTGTCAGCATGCCAACCTCAATTTTCGTACGTCTTGGCCTCCTGTCCGCCTTGCCCTATGCTTCCGAACAGTTTCATTGTCAATATTTCTGTGACCAGTGACATTCTCTATAGTTCCAAATACATCGAGTTGCAATGCCCGACCTGCCTAGCAAGAACGGTGGCGGTCACACAGCATCTGATAGCACGCCTGACGAACATGTTCAGGTACCTGTGAAGCAGGAGAACATCGGAACTAGTCTACACATGAAACAAGTGGCATGTACCTGCAGCACCTGTACAAATTACCATGTGCCTGTCTGACAGTGGGTTTTCGTGGGATGATGGGAGCCGGGGCGTGGTGTGACTGTGATCGAGGCCTGCATATGATGCAGGAAGACTTTCGGAACGGGAAGCCTGAAAACTCAAATGCAATATTGCGGCTCAGCAACGAGAACAAAATAGGGGAAAAGAGAACTGGGACTTGGCGAGAACGTGAGTGGAGTTACTTTGGCGAAGTTTGACATTGATGATGACGAAGAACTGATAGGCCTACCGCCGACTGGGGTGAGAATCTATCGTCCGCTGCTACCAATGTCTGACTATGAATTTCGAGAGCGGTTTTGCGCATACAGACGTCATCATTTCCTTGGACATGAAGGTCACGTGGAAGAACACAGGTCGCAGCGCGTACCTCTCTACAGTCACTGCAACATTGAACCTACGCGTTAAATCATAACAACCCGACTTTCTCTCGTGACCCTGTTCGATTTTTCCTGACGCTGTTCAAGGACCAATTGCACGATAAGCTTATCACGTCATGCTCACGACAGACAGGTCTTTCATGTACTATGTGGCACCGGCCGCGCTGTCGAGCACAAGAAGCATGCATGAGCGGAACTTTCTATGTGTATCTCTAAGACCAATGCCCATACCTTTGGCGCTCTATGTTCTGCAACCTCCACGTCTCTTCCTGCTGATAAATCTGCTCTGCGTCGATTCTGCCGCAGCATCATGACGGTACGCTCACACGACACACGACACCTGACGACATGAGACGACCAAATCGCTGTACAACACTGCATCGCAATGCCAGCACTTCGTACATCTGTATACGTGGACCTTACATAGGGTATGTGATGACAGGAGTGCATCGCATACGTGGTTACCAGCACCACTCGACCAAAGACAATGCCCAAGCATAATCCCTAACAACCAGCATATACGAAATCAGCAGACCTGATGCCATGTGCTGCGGTAGATGTGTTGTCTTGTTCAGGCTGCCGAGGACAAGGTGCAATCCCATGGTACGAGTGCACAGGCGCAACGTCTTACTACCTCGGGAAGGAGCCAAATGCCATTCTTGAGGCAAAAGAAAAAGAGAAAGGCAGCAAATCACATTCTAAAGGATACATGGCGAAGCATGACTGGATGAAACTGGATATTTGAGAGACCAGGTACCCTTCCTTCGCCTTGGGCTCCACGGACCTCTTTTCCGCAATGACTGTAGATCACAATGGGCACCACAGCAGCTCACTAGAGAAAAGCGCACAAGTACAATCCGCAGGTCTTCGGGTGTGTACTCGTGCTTGTGGGTGTGTGGGTGTGGAGAACATGGCGATGATGACACGCTGTATGCGCGTTGACATGCAGTAGCTGAGCATGTATGTACATGTATGTAGCAGCGGGGAAGAAGGGATCCACGCTGTGTATACAAGGCTCACTGCATAAAATTCCCTTGGTCGCAAATCGACTGCATTCCATTCGTCTAACACTGCCAATACCTGCATCTTTTACCCTACGAAAACGCGATTTGGCCACACGAGCTGCAGGTAAGGAATCCTCACCGGACGAGATCTTCGCTGCGACGTTTCCTGTCAAAACTGTCCCTGTTTGCTGCGTACCACACACACCTTTGCGCTTTCCCCCTGTTTAGAGTTTGTGGCTAGGGTACGTACATAGGACGTACATGCTACAGCTGACCCTGACCCAGAAACTTTATTCCACGATGAACAAGTCTGATCCTTACAAAGACAGGCAAGAAAAGAATAGCCTCCTTTTTTCCACTCCCCCCCCCCCCC